GAAGACCAAAGAAGAGTTGATGCTTTTGAGTTGCAGTGTTGGCAAAGAATGCTGAAAGTACCATGGGCTGCTAAAAGAACTAACAAATCTGTCTTGGAAGAAGTGGAGCCGGAATGCTCTTTGAAAGCCAGAATGGGCAGACTTCATCTCACCTACTTTGGTCATGTTGTCAGAAGGGAACATTTTCTGGAGAAGGATGTCATGCTTGGTAAAGTGGAGGGTCAACCAAGGAGGAGAAGGCCCTCAACAAGATGGACTGACACAGTGGCTGCAGTGATGGGCTCAGGTATAGTAGGGATGTGAGGCTGGCCCAGGACTGGGCAGTGTTTGGTTCTATTTCACATGTCTCTGTGAGTCAGAGATGACTAGACAGCAAATAACAACATCACAAAAATGTGGCTTTCTTACGCTAGTATGTGTTAGGTGCAGAGTACAATGTGCTTACATAAATTAACTATTTAAATCCTAGGAAGCTGGATTAATAGTCATATTTTATAGATGATGAAACTAAGACACAGGGAAGTTATGCTACCTGCCTGTGATTGCACACTTAATAAGTCACAGAGCTAAGACTCAAACCTAGTCGCTTTGCACCAAAGTCCTTGCGCACGCAAGTACGCACACATACACACTCATGGAATATGCTCCCTTGTCAGGTTGGAGGAGTCCACTGGACTCTTCAGATTCTTCAGACGGGAAAACTACAATTCCCAGCGGCCATTGCGCGCTGAAGTCTGCGCGGACATATACATCAGGGATAGAGGTACTTGATGAGCACCGGCTCATTCAGGGAACTACACTTCCCGGCTCTGCCTGCGTGGTCCGTAACACTTTGGAGGCTGCGGGCGCAGTGCGGGGTCTAAGCAGCTCAGCCCCTCGCTCTCGGACCCAGTCCAGGGCCGACGACTCAGACTCAGCTTCACCATGGAGGAAGCGGACCGAATTCTCATCCATTCCCTGCGCCAGGCCGGCACGTAAGAACACAGCCCCTGCCCACCCGGAATGCCCATATCCGGGAGTACAGAATCCCGTGATCCCGTCACCCGGGCACCTTAAAAACCCGGACCTTGACTTCCAGGTCCTAAGACCCTGCCTCTTCCCTTCCGACCTGGGTGGGGGTGTTCCGACCCCGACGCAAAGTAAACCAGAAGTTTTGGACCAAACGCCTTGAAACATTAAAATCTTGGAACCCCCAAGACCCAAGACCCTGTAATCTAGTGGCGGTATTAGGGTTGGTGTCAACCAGTGCAGTAACTCAAAGTTTCAGCCCCCGTCCCCCCCCCCCACCGTGGACCTCTTTGCGTACCAGGACTTACAGGCGCCTTAGTAATTTTTTTTTCACCAATTTGTATCATAGAATAAATATGTGATAAATATAATTGTAAATTGCTTCAATGTAATATTTTTAGATAATAGGAATACTAACTTTTTTTTAAAATAAATAATTCTACATTGAATTACAACGTTAATAGTCACATCATTATTAGTAACGAAGCAGGGTTTTTTTTTATTACGTTTCTTCTTTTCCTTTAATTACTACTTCATTCTCAAAAAAGTTAATTGGTATAGGGTCACATATTCTAATCACCACAGTACTGTAGCTAAAACACCGAAAATTTGACAAAAATCAATGACTGTAAAAACACCAGCAGCAGCAAAAACAACAGCAGTGATTGTAGCAACATGCAGATGACAGCATGTGATTCAGAGAATTATTATAATTGTGTAATAATGACAGCTCTGACCAAAGAGCATTGAAAGGTTCAAAAAGTAAATTAGCATAGAGTTTTAGCCTTGTAGTTATTTTTATGCATGTAAGCTGTGCTTACAAAAAATGTTTTTGTTGTTATAATTACAGGGGTATTTTTATAAAAATTAATAAATTTCTGCTGAAACACTGCCCCAGAATTTTAGAATCAGTCATTTTGGTGTCACCCCCTGACCCACACCCCCACACTCCCCTAATGATATCACTGCTGAAACTCTGGATCTCGACATCTGGGAAACTTAAGTTCTAGTATTCTAACAACTAGCGACTTAAATAACCCTGGGATCCTTATATTTGGAGATCCTAAGACAGTTTTACCCTGAGAACCA